CATAGGCCTCAATTGGATTTGATCGAAGGATCAGGAGATAGTGATGATGTGAGAAATATTAGTGGAGGAGCTCTCCCAAAATTGGGCAGGTCACCTTGAACAATGCATACAGTGGTGGTACTAATTCGGGGAGCAAGAGAAAGAGAGGTAAAAGTGGTCAAAACAAGAAGGGAAAACGTCTTGCAATTGTAATGGTTGATTCAGTGAGTTACTTGGTGTCCACACAAGAGGATAGGGTTTCAACACTGAAGTCAATTCTTAATTCCATAGAGGGTGGGACAAAACCAATTGATTAAAATGTGGTGGATGTTGCAAAAGAACTTTATGGAATCGAGGAGATTGCTTATGATGAGTTGCTTCTTGGACAGTGTGTTGTGGCTTTGTTAGATAATACTGTAAGGGACATGTATATTGGGCTTAAGGACAACAGAAGAGCATTAATGGCCTATTTGAGGTGCTTGGGCAAAAAAGCAGATTAGATCAATCTTAGCTTGCCTTCTCAATGTTTTAAATTTAGCTAGTGCCGTTTATGTTGTTAACTTTGTTTTGAAACTGACTGTGTTATTTGACTCTTGTGTTATGTGTTTCTTATGTTAAGTCATGAACAATAGTATAATGATTGTTTAATTATGCTATGAAGTTTTTATGGATGACGATATGTAATCTCACTTATTACAATTACTTGTACATGCGAAAGATGATGAGATTGAGGAATCTTAAGAGAGTATTTTAAGACATTCAAGAGGAATCTAGAACATTTTCAAAATGTTCTAGAAGCATCTAGAATAATCTAGAAATATCTAAATCAATTTGGAAGAATCTAACAGGTTCTAGAAGCTTATGAAAGGATATGAAGATATCTAAAATATTCTAGGATATCTAGAATGTTCTAGAATATTCTAGACATATCTTGACATAGTCTCTAGATAATTCCATGCAAATATCTTGATATCTGTTATAAATATCTAGGAGAGAAATCTAGAATATTAACAATAACCATAAGATCGATTTAATCTTTATTGTCCATTAAGGAGGTGGGAATTTTTAAGATTTAAGGGAAGGTCTATAAATACCTCACCCCTCCTTATTTGTAAACCATGTTTGAGTTCTCAAGTAATACAACTTTCACATTTCCCAAACTCTCTCAACTTTCCTTTGCTCTCAAGCTTTCCCTTTCCTCAATTTAACCAAACATCCTTTTTTTTTCTACAAATCAGGCTTACTTAGCATCTTTCAGTGAAGAGTATCTAAATCTCGCATGGGTCAAAAGACTAGCCTCGTGACATTTGGCTATTATACCAAGAGAGGTCTCCCTTAGAGTAATATTTTTATTAAAAGGAGCAATAGCTATACTATGTGCATCTAGCCTAATGTCTATATCCATATTATTTTTATCGTCATTCCATTCAACAAAATTAAGTTTGAACTCAAAAGGCCTACTCTTTCATTAGCCTGAACATACCCTTCTATTGGGCTTACCACTTCCTTGCCTCGACCCAATTTTATATTCTTTGATCCAATCCTCACCTCATTTCCTTGTCTGAAGCCCACTAAATTACTTATGTGATTTGGAATTCTTACTAATATTATGCTAACCGTTACTAATATCATTCAAGAGGATCTGTATCTTCACTTGATGATTGGGCTTAACTAATTATTCTCCTTCCATTGTATTCAGTACTGAAAATCTCAAACCAATAACCAACTTATCAACTTCACCCTTAAAATCCTACTTGTTCTCTTACAATCAAAAGTCATTCCCAGTAAGCCATTGTTGACATCCTCTACCCAAAGCCACCATCCATTCATCATAAATCCTTGATGAAGGAACAATGTTACCCCTAGCTGGCAACTGCTAGCTTATATTATGATCAGATGTAGGCAATGAAATAAAGTCATTCTACTTTGTCATCTTTCTAGGGCAATGATATGAATCATGACCATATTTTTGCAATTGAAACATATCAGGTACAAAACCTTATAGACAACCTTCTTCTCCTTACTATTGATCGATATCAATGACACCAATGGTGACTTCAAATTAGCTCAACACAAATTTGCACAAAATTACCTTTAGCATGATGAAGTGTGTTCGTATCCACTTTAAGAACTTAACCAATCTAGTTTCTTAAATTTTGTTGTAATATCTAATGGGAATTTTAGAATTCTAACTCAGGCAGCATCTTTAACGCCTCCTCCTTTTCAGGGTCAAAATCTAATTTTCATGGCTACACTACTAGAAAGTGGTCCATAATCAATTATAGCCCCCTTGGTAAAGTAAAATCATAATCATCTTTATTTTGAAATTGCATAAAGAAATATCCAGAGCCAAACTCAAGTGTCACCACCTCTCCACGTGTTCCTTACATCTTATGGAGCTTGTTGCCTAACTAGGTTTCCCTCACTATGTGGCCCAATAGCCTCAAGATAAGGGTTTTGCACCACTTCTTTGCCAACTTTTTCTTAAACTCTGGTAGAACAATTATGTTAGGCCCCTTCGCAGTTGATTCTATTTTAATGCAACTCTTTTAGCCTTCTCTATTCCACCAATCATCCTCTTCGTTAGAGCTAAAAATATGGGTTAGTTTATGTGGGTTGACCCAAATAATCGACCATAAGGGTGGGGTTGAGTTGGAAAAAAAATTGATCCAAATAAAAATAAGTTTTTTCTGGCTTGGACCATATAATCTATGAATCATATGGGTTAAAACTGATGGGTTAAGGTTGACCTGTTTAACCCATATTATTTTTAAAAATATAAAAAAATAAAAAAGAAGAAATTTTTGTGGATATAAACATATTGAGCATGACTTACTTAATTGCATCAATTCATATATTTTATACAAATATTATAAATTAATATTTTGGTATATTTAGAATGAATCACGAAGAAATATCAAATTGAAATGTATTATTGAGGTGTATTTTTTAAAAAATTAAAAAATTTAATAAATTTTAAAAAAAATTAATAACTAGATTGAGGGTTAGTCCATTTAACATTCCAACCTTTAATAGTCGGGTTGGGTTGAGATTTTTTCGATTCATATAAAATAAATTGAATTCAATCTAACTCATATTTTTTTCAACCCATATGAGGTAACTCATATGGTTTGAATTGGCTTATATTTTTACCTTTACTTTTCACCATCCTCGCCTTCATTCTCGTTAGTATTAACGTAACGACGGCCTGCTTTTATGACTTGCGTTTTGGGTTCAGTTTTTCCTATGGTAGGGGCTTATATAGTTCATTTAATCTTCCTCTGTTGGAATAACTGCCCGATTATCTGCCGCGTGGCCTTTGCCTGTACGCACTTTTTTTGACTGCGCTCCAACTCATCCAGGGACGTACCCACGTTATGGACAGTGGGGGCACTAGCAAAGAGAAAATTATACAAAATGAACCTAAAATGTTTTAGTGGTCCCGTTTAAAAAATTTCAATTGCCCCCATCATTTTAAAAAATTCATTTGTCTCCTTAAAAAAATTTACTTATTTCATTAAAAATTTAATAACTTAAAATCTTATCTATATACTATATCTTAAGTAGGAATAGTTTTACAATAAAATAGTAATAATTTAATAAAATATTTGTTTATAGAAAATTTTATTCACAAATTAATTCTCTTCTATAAAAAAGAGGTATAAAGATTTAATTTAATAAAAATAAAAAAACATGAAACGAATAGACGTACAAAATTTTTTATATAAAGATAATTTTTTATTATAATTTTATGTTTTATGCATTTTTTAGCAGTTAATTTTATTAAATTATACCTTTAATATAAGTTAATAAATAATTAAATTTATATTTTTAATAAAACATTAATATTTATTTTGAAATAAATTATGCCCCCATCAATTTATTTTTCTAGATCGGTTACTGAACTCATCCACCTCTTCCTTCGACGACACCTCCCTGTTCTCTCCCCTATCGCTAGCACTCATAGCTCCTCGCATGAGTCAAGTTTATTGTTTTAGCAAGGCTTATGCATAGCTCCTTAACTTATATTACTTTGACAACAAGATAAATTGACAAATTGTTTATGAACCAAATTATACCCATCTAATTACACTGTTAATCTTAATTGTGTAATCGACATATATAAAATAAAAAAGAAATATTTTTTTCCACCAGCTGACTTGTGTGATACATTTTTTTTAAGTTATCCTTAATTAGATGTGTAATTTATAAAAATTTTTAATTGAAGCCATCTATTATTAAATGAGGACAGATTTAAAAGAATGTATAGTTTTGAATGTTATTATCTAACCTATTCAAAAGTGTAAAACAATTAAAAAGTGTTTTCATTTTTTAATTGTTTTGCACAGCCAACGCTCAACACTTCCAGCTTCGCTTTTTAAAAATTTTTAAAAAAGCTAGCTAACTCGATTTCAAATTAATCACGCAATGTTTTTCCTCCTCGAATTGTGATAGCTCACGCGAAAACCGCCGAAAGGACACCTTGTTTCTGTTTCTTTAATCATTAGATGGTTTTGACCCAATCAATTGAAGGGAGCCGGCGGATCTTAACTCCATATTTATCCCACGTGTCGCTAATTTTGTTCTGATTGACTGATTCTATTTGTTCTCAGAAAAAAAATGTACTCTACATGCTTATTGTTATTTTTTTAATCAGATCATCTAATGAATATATATATATATATATATATTCATATATCATATCGTTTTACTTAGCACTACTTACCAATTCCCATATGATTTATTAATATATATTTTTTAATTTTTTTTTTAAAAAGTTGACACAAATTGAGAATGAATACACCATGTATATCTGAAGTACCTAATTTCTTACATCATAATTCAGTTTTTCTGAGTTTTCTCCTGAGATGCCCAAAAAAAAAAAGCCCTAGACGTAGATTGTCTATCCTTGACTCTAATAATCAGATATTTAATTTGGGAAGTGCAAGGGACTAGTATGTCAAACAGGCTAGAAGAACCTTCTTTATTTATCAACAAAAAACGTACCAAAAAAAAAAATCCTCGGAATCCAATCGAATAGTACTCCCCATTAAAAAATAAATGTAGAAATACAGTAAGGAAATCAACAAGCAGCGACAATGTCCAATAAATGAACAAATACGGAACTCATAATATAAAAGAAAAACGAGGAGATTAACAAATAGTCCTATAATATATGTAATCTAAAACCGCATATGAACAGACACGGAGAGTCAGGGGCGAGCGCTCCGTCAGTAGTCCAAGTCGCACTCGGTGGTCTGGAACGTGCCGGACGACAAGGTTCCGTTGGCCATCAAGGGAACCTTGAGGTCACAATCAATCTTGGGCTTGAACTTGCCGGTCTTGAAGACACCCAACTTGAAACGAATCTTTAGATACAACTTGACATCAATATCGTAAACCCCGGTGCTCTTCTCCTTATTATATTCTGAAGCCTGATCGGTACCCAGAGAAATCAAGTTTTGGCCTTTGAACTCGGTGCTGAGATAGTGGGTAGTCTTGTGGCCCATGTAAAACGGCGAGATATCGTTATTGGAACTGAACCTGGCATCCTGGTACAGAGCCCTGGCTTCGATGTAGTCGTAGTAAATGCCAAGCCTTCTGTTGGGGTTGCGGATGGTCATGTTAAGAGCAAGGTTGTAGTAGAGGGTGCCGTTGTCAGCGTAGTTGAATTCGGTGAGGGAGGCATCGGTGACGTGAAATTTAACTTGTTTGGGCGGACGATGAGCCAGAACACAAGGACGGCGATCCCTAGGATGACGATGATGGTGCAGACAAGTTTGCAGATGAGGCTGAAGATACAGCCGCAGCAGCAGTCAAAGGCGCCGCCACGGCCCGGACGGTGGTAGGATTTCGGTGGTGGGATGGAGGGGCCGTAGTACGCCCCGTTCAACTGGGGATTTTTTTCGGCCATTTGAGAGGAAAAGGTCTAAGGACGTACAAGTAAATATCAATGAAACAGGGAAGGAGTAGAGGTGAGAGAGGAAGGTCATAAGCGGGCGCGTTATATAGGGATGGAAGGTGATGCTGAGACCTGGAAAAGCGCGTGCGGGGATCAGTGAGAATAAGGACATTGCGTCAGGTAGGCGCGTGATGGTGAAATGAAGAAAAACGCGGTTGTTTTTCAATTTCTGGAAAAGGCGGGCTTGCGTTTGCATTAGAGGCAGAAAAACGATATAGCATCTTTGAATTTAAGCGTGTGGCGTGCAACTTCATGGAAACTTCCGAAGGTTCGGTTGCTCGCGAATTGTCCCTTTTATCAACAAGCGCATATATTACGCCAACAACCTTCCTTAAATTTCTTCTGTTCACAGTTCGTACCTTATTCTTCAAACACCTGATGCGACGCTACTGCTATATATCGGTTCCTAACCCAACTCTCCCTGTCTACACTTTGCAAGTTTCTTCGTTAATTTCAGCTACTGTTAACAAGTTTTTTTAATCATGTATAGTCTTCCTTGACTTTTAACCATGTGAAGATAACTTCCTTGATTCACTTTCAAAAGTCCCCAGTATTTTAAGTTCGTCCACGTCATTGATCTTTCTCTGGTTAATTTTTAATTGTTTCTCTATCAGACAGCATATTATGTTATTGACTATATGTTCTTTTTTTCATGCACATTACTCTTTCAAATTTGTGAGCTTTGTGAAAAAAACTCATTTAAAATTTATGTCTTCTGTAGATAAACTCCACCTTATAATATATTCTTTTTGTGAAATAACAGATAAGCTGGCAATAGGAAAATTATTTATATGAATATAAAAGTTATTAGAAGAGGTTCATTGTAAAATTATATTGGAAAAATATAATTTTAGGTCCATGTACTTTACTCGTGTTTTACTATTGATCTTTGTATTTTTTTTGGATATTTTTTGTCCCTATACTTTTGTTTTTTTTATTATTTTAAATTGCTTTAAGGTTCCTATACTTTATTTATGGAGGGACCTATAACAATTAAAAAAAATACAGAGACTAATAACAAAACACAAATAAAGTAGTAGGATCTAAAATTATGTTTTTTCAATTATATTTAAAGGTGGGAGGTAATGTAGAGCTCGGTCTGATAAGCACCATCGTGCTCATCACCTAATGAGCAATTTTGACCCTCCAAATTGTTAATCTAAACGCCATTTTATTTTAAATTTTATTATATATTTATTAAAATATAAAATATAAAAATTTAATAAATTTATTTTATTATCAATCTGGATGATTTAATTTAATATTAATTTTTTTAAAAAATTATATACTAACTATCCAAATGTACTATGGCTTCAATCTGTCTAGAATATATTTGAATAGTTAGTATATAATTTTTTTTAAAAAATTAATATTAAATTAAACCATTCAAATTAAATATGTATTATCTAGATTGATAATAAAATAGATTTATTAAATTTTTATAATTTTTTATAATAAAAATAAAAATAAATTTTATAAAATCTGGACATTTCCGTTAATATATAGGTTAGTTTTTTTAACAGGTGATCCAAGATCATCATGATTAATTCATATTTAATTTTTTTACAAACTTTTTACCCTTTTTTTCTTTATTCTCTTCGAACATCCCGTGATGAAGAAAGGAGGAGGGCCTGCATTGTTACAAGGTACTATATACTGCACACGCATGTTGAACTGAGGTGATTAGGAGTATTAAACGTGGCCAGCAGATGGGTCATGTTATTGTATTGACAAGTAGGGCGCCTTCCATCTTCTTTCAAACAATCACGGGGCGTCATCAATGCAGACTTCGATCAAGCAGAATTGTAATTCGTCAGAACTTGAAAACAACGTTTGAAGAGGCTTTATAATTTATTGGGTTTCAGGAAATTGACAGACAGTTTGTTATATCTAACGCCGTTGTTAAAGTTTTACTTAGTCAAACTCAAGATGCATTGTCCAAATTGACCCAAAATTAAAAAAAGTGATGACCTTTATCCCTTCCTCCTCAGCAAGCCATCAATCAATCAAACACGCACACACAGACGGTGTGTAATGTGTAATTTTTGTTCATTAACTTCGAAGAAACTTTCTCACATTTAATCGGTGGCATTCTTGGACTCAGAATTGGCTCGGGGCTCTACTGTTTATTCAACACCGATCGAGTGGGACTCTTCTGGTTCCTGGGGGCAAGATCGCGTTCCTTGGAATTCAAGTGAATGGACTGAAATCAAGAAAAAAATATCATTGTCTTGTTTAATTTAGTGTTTTGAAACCTAAACTGGATCGGATCGGAATGCTTGACTGATCCAACTATCGCCTGCTGAATAAAATGATTTAGCCTAACCAATTGAACCATTTAACATTTGAATCGGATTGACCCGATTGAGCTTAAGAGAACTAGATTTAACCTGGTACCTAAAGCAAGTCAATTCGAGTCACACCTAAAAAAAAAAAACTAGGCCTTACTGTTAAGAACAGGAGGTCAGTCATGCCTCATGCACTCTCAATCTCTCACCCACCATTGATGGATTCAGCCCCACTCTAGACTCTCGCCATTCTCATCTCCCTTGAGGCTCAATCTTTGATTCTCTCCTCTAAGCTCGCTCAATCTCTAATTCTAGTGCTGACATGCCTCTATCATCAATCAAGCTCTAGCATTTCGTGTCACCGGCAAGAAATGAAGCTCGTGACAACCTTAACTCAGTGCTCACTCAGCCTTTCAGCATGAGTTGGTGGCTCAGTACCTTCACTGCCATTAGTGTCCTCTCCTCTCCTTCCATTTCTAGGTTCGATTTCTAGCTTCTATCTATGTATTTGACTAGGTGTCGTCGGAAAAGGCGCATTAATTTAATTGATATTTCTTTGTTTTTTTACTATGTTTTGTCTTACGCAAGAAGCATATATGAAAAGAGAAAGACGAGATGACAAAGTTGAGATCATTATATTGAGAAAACGAAGAAGTGAGAAGTAAGGAGAGAGCCGAGTGAGTAGTAAATAACATGTTCCTTCCATTTTATCCACATCAACAACAAGAACCAAGCCATAAAGCAAGGGAGAGCCTTTGAGAAGTGAGAAGAGAAAGAAGGGATAGAGAAAATGAGAAGGGAAAAATACAGACGCTCAAAAGAAATAGCGATTGAAAAGAGATAATATTATAAAACAAAACTGTGTTGTAGAGGGTGTTTTCAATTTTCAAGCTCTTTATATTTCATGCTCACCTTGAATTAAGATTAAAAACAAGAGTGTCTACTAGGCAATCAGCTTATCACTCATGATCTTGTCTTTTTTTTTTTAACTCAGCGTATAATTTCTTTGTATTTTTTTGATTAAAAATTAAATAAAAATAAACAAATAAAATTATATAATTAATATAATAAGTCTTAAAATAAGACACTTATAATAAGTCTTTATATTTTTATTTAATTATTTTGTTATCAATTTTACCATTGGTTTAACCAGTTAAATCATAAAAATCATGACCCAGCTGGCTTTTTTGGTTTGACTATTTTATTATGAATATTAAATAAAGCAAATATTAAACATTATGTAATTTTATTATAAATGTTTTAGTTGATTTTTATTTTTTAAATGAAAATAATGAAATTCATTTTTAAAAGTTAATTTTTTTTTAGTAATTAACTAAAGATAGAATCCCTCACTAAATGCCTTGCTAATTATCTAATTGTAGATAGGGATAATAGTTTCTCATTATTTTTCTAACTAATTATCATGTTTTTTAGAGTGATTGACAGCCTTTTGTATTTACCTTGTTAATTATTTTATTTTAGATAGGGACTGACATTCCCTAGCTATTTTCCTTATTAATTTTAAGTTTAGCTATGAAATCAACATCTTTTGCTAATTTAGTATTTTAGAAAGAAATAGATAATCTCTCACTAAATTTTCTCACTAATTCACATTATTCTATTAGTATACTCCCTCCGTCTTTATATATAAGATATTTTTAATTGAATCACGTAAATTAATAAAAATTGATTGTCTAATTAAAAGCATAACAACATTTTAATTTTGCCCTTAATTATTATAAATAAAAAATAAATATTTTTTAAAAGTAAATTAATAAAAGTACTTATTTTTTAATTTAATAAGAGTATAATAATTTATTTATTAAAAAATATGTTAATAATTTCTCATATTTAAAGTAAAATAAATTTTAAATTTTTTTTTTATATTTAGGGTGTACTTGTTAACAACAAGGGAAATTGGGTATACGGATAGCTCTTATTTCTTATCAGAAGGTACAATATATGACCGTTGAGGAGCTGACCAAGTGGAGCCTTGCAGGATTCTGTCACAATTCCGGTTCGTTCTGGCCGTCATATCTTGGAATATGTTTTATTGAATCAAATATTTCTATTTCCATTTCAAAGTAGTCCTTTCAATTGTCAACGGAGAAAGTATAACTTTACAAGCATGCATATAAAAATTTTTTATTATATACATTTTTTGTCAGAATTATTATGAACATTTGTTATATAATATTAGGTCAAATTTAATATTTTCAAGTTTTTTTGGCCAATATATTTTCAATTTCTTTAATTTAATTAGACTGTTTAAACTATTGACTTAGCTAAAGAGTATTGTTTTAATACCATATTATAGCTAATTCTAGATTACCAAATCATGTACACACTACACTACTAGTATATTTTATTAAATGTAAAGAAAGTTCTCCTGGCCTGAAAATGTGTGGATTTCAATTTTCAAATAACATGCATGTATGGGGAATGCATTTAATGACGGCCATTTTCTTTTATCATCCCCAATTCTTCATTAAAAGTGCGTCTCCCCTCCCCTCCTCTCTACACACACAGTTACATTACATATCTTAAATGCTATATCCATCGAAATGGAACGAAGTTTAAACAGAAACTTTAACATCCCATATTATTTGGTGGCAAAGCCCAAAATGACCAGGCAACGTATAACAATAATGCAATATTTGTAAATAAACAATAAATAAATAAATGTAAGAAATGATAACACGTAAATGTGCCGCATAATCATGTGCATACCGCGCCCATGGCCAAAGAATTAATCAAATAAAATGACACAAGAAGGATAGAAAAAGAGAGGATCGGATAAACCAATCCCATTGCAGGAGGACCAATCCCGTTGCAGGAGGGGACGCACAACTCAGAAATCGACATCGCATTTAGTGGGTTCAAACCCACTCGCAGTAGTGGTGTTAGAACTGAGAGGAACCTTGAGTTCACATTTCACCCTGGGATGGTAGTCGCCGGATATGACATCGCCTAGCCTGAACCTTATCCTGAAGTAGAGCTTCACGTCTATGTTAAAAGCCCCGCTTGCCTTTTCTTCATTGTACTGGGCTAGATCATCGGAACCCAGCGGCATCACATGCTGGCCCGAGAAGTAGGCGCTCATGGGGTCAGATCTCTTGGTGTACTGTCGGAAAGAGTTCATATGGGTGATGACGTCGACGGCGTCGAACCTCTGGTCCTCGTAGAATGCCCTGCCTTCCACTCGGTCATAGTAGACGCTGAGCTTTTTGTTAGGGTTACGAGCGGTGAAGTTGAGGACAAGGTCGTAACGGAGGGTGTTGTCGGAGTAGTCGAATTGGGTGAGCTTGGCGTCGGAGACGTAAAACTTGAAGGCGCGTGGTTGGACGATGAGCCAGAAGATGAGGATAGCGAGGCCGACGATGACGATGAGGGCGACGAGGAGCTTCCAGAAGAATCCGAAAAGGCAGCAGCAGCAGCTTCTGCCGCGGCGATAGCGGGGGTGGGGTTGCTCGGCCGGGGGAACGGAGGGACCGTAGTAGGCGCCGTTCAAATGGGGTTGCTTATCAGCCATGTTATACCCTTCCCTTGGAACGTTATGACAATTGAAAGAGAATGGGAAGATGAGAGGTGCACAGATGGATGACGGAGAAGGAGGTGACTTTGTTGATGAGAAGGAGATGAGGATGGACGCGTATATATAATTTTTCGACCTGAGACGCGTATATATAACGAGTATAGTGAGGCTGAGAACGAAGATTCAAAAGCAGAACAATGAACGCGGTAGAGTGGTTCGCGTAAGGGACTTGGCCAAATTGACGAATGGGCAGAGGGATTAAATTGACTATGGCATATTAATGCAAAAGGGGGGGGGGGGGGTTACGCCGGGTTGTTTGCCCAATTCAATAACGCATAAATGTCCACTTACACGAAAATTCAAGGAACCCGCTCAGAAGTATATCACATCACATACCAGCTGATTTGAAGTTTTGTACAACTATTATATAAGTACGGGACTAGGGGTATGGCTAATGTTTTTATATTTTAAATTTAAATGGGTGGGTAGTTAGTCTTTTAATATTAATTTTCAGGATCTGCTTGGGCTTATGGGAGAATCATTTTAAACTGGGCCAGGGAAGCGGCAGGCGAGCCCATCTTGGCACCGGAATCTTTTGCCCCCGTTCTCAACTTTCGCTGCTGATTAGTCCAGTTGGTAAGAATTTAAATATTTGGCTCAAATTATAACAGCATAGGTTTAAATTTTAGTGTTGACGTCAGGATTTTATTAGTAAGTGATCTACAAATACTTTTAAAGTTAGGAGACACTTTAATCTTGGTTAACCTATGAGACCAACTTATCTAAATTTTTTAGTATAAAAAAACAATTAGTCTTATTTTGAAACTTAAAATTAATAGTATCATATCATGATTTTAGTTGAAATAATTGAAAATTCGGACTGTGCAGAGGCCCCCCCCCTGGGGGGAGAAGGTCTGATTTTAAAATTGAATTGGAAGTCCAGGAATATGATCAAAGCAAACAGCTGTTGCAACAAATGAATTCTACAGTTAGATTCGATGCACCTAAAATGTAAATTATTCTATCGAATAACCCCTAAAGCAGCGTACATAGTAACGCGACATATATTAGTTTTAACGCTATATATAAACTAATAATACATTATCAGAGCCCGTAAAGCAGATAGAGCATTGGATATGGAGGTTGGATGTAAGCTATTGCTTACTAATAAACCTATTAATTCTCATTGTCCATGATCATTACAAATGACCAAAGATTAATGATTCGATTTCAATTTTATTATATAACGTTTTCAAAGATCCCAATTTTAAAACCATTAATTGAAAATGTTGAGTTCAAAACTTTTAAAACAAAGTAAGCAACCGCAGGCAATCATATATAAACAACATAAATGTTATTATAAATGCCCGACTCTTGTTTCAATATTCGTTAGCCTTATCTTGAATTTATATCGAGTTTAAAATATTAATACAAACATTATGCATAATTCAAATTCATACAAGCAAAGTAAAACATAACTTAATCTTTCCAACTGGCCTGATGGCACAAATTAATCAAGGGAGTCCACAACATTTTACCATTTCACAAATATAATCACAAATTTATCTTTGATTTAGCTAACTAACCATGGCCCTCATGACACAGGTACATACGCAACACTGCCCATGATCTAATATTACACTATAAACTCACTCTGTTAATTAGTTTAGAATTTTCATTAACATTATTAAGTTCATTAGACCCTAAAGAATCTAGTTAAACCCACTATAAGTCTCCATAGCCTGTTGTTTACCCATAAGAATTCTTTATTAAGTCTGGTATTTGAGGTTAAATCCCACATTAAAGACTAAGGTAATAAATTTCACATAAGGCAACGAATTAAAGATCTAACTACTAAAAATAACAATTTAGATGTCAATAACCTATTGACTGAATATCAGCTTTATCCAACAATGAACAAATTCAAAAGCAAAACTTTACTTGAACTACTTTGTGACAATGCAAAGATGGCTATTGCAAGTGATAAAATTAAAACTCCCTAATCAAGAAATGGATAAATGATCCAACCATTGAAAATTATGAATTAAATGTTACAAACATGATGACCAAATTTAAGTCCAATTCAACGGTGACCAAATTCAAAAACGTCAATTAACTGAGACTGCTATGTGAAGATACAAAAATAGTTGTTACGAATGGCAAAATTAATAACTCTTTAATTAGAAAATCAATTAACGATCCAACCATCAAAAAGGAGGAGTTGGATGCTACAAAACTTGTGACCCAATTTAAACCTGATCCAATGATGTTGATTTATCAAGACTGCTTCGTCTAGACGCAAAAATAAGTTTTTCTTTGCTTTTCTCTCACTGTAGCTCAATCCTGAATATAATATTTCTCTCATTTATAAACTGACCTCTCTCTTCTCTACTTACACAGGAAGGATGCCCAAACTCATTAGTTTTAATTTTTCTCAAAACACAATTTAATTTTTACTTGAAGCTTATAACTTCCTTAAATTAAATTCCTAAATAAAAACATTTCAGGGGAAAGTTACCTGCCACGAGAAGTGAAAACCCAAGAGGAGGATCAACATTTATTAACAGCTATTTGTTGATAAAAAAAATTAACAGCTATTTGAATATTTGTAATTTAAATTTGTCTATGGGAAACGCAATTTCAGCGACACCAGAACCAATTGAAATTGGAATCCATTAGACGGCGGACTGGTAACGTTGTTCAGGACGATGCTGTGGGATTCCTATCCCCATCACGGTGCAACTTGTAGTTTGTTCTGGGCTCGGGCCCTCTCTTATCCTATCAAAATAAAAAACCTAACCCATTCCCTCCCAATTATAGCGTAAACGGCCCGTCGAAGAGTTTGAGGATTTGAAAGGCATGCACTCACGGGGCCCATAGGCCTCAAAGAAGAATACTGGTTTATAAATGCAAATGGGAAGGAAGGCAACAAGGAATGATATTTCTAATTCCTCCATTGCGCTGCTGCTGTCAAAAGTACATATGATGAAATCATCCTTCAAACGAGGAGATACATGCAATCCGCTGCTTATTATCTGCAAACTGGACCGTGGCCATTCATCATTGTCTCAGAGAAGCACTCTCTTGTGCTGACAAGCTCGCCAATAATGCTCACCATATGGAAGTAGACGCTGCTCTCCTTAATGTTGTTCCTCCTTCCTTATTGTTTTGTTGACTACTTACGTGATTTAAGGTCTGTGATCTGTTACCACGTTTCGTCTTTTCAATTTGTAAGTCGCAACTTTGATTCGGGGTGGGGGGGGGGGGAAGTACAATGAAATGAAATTATAAGGTTCATGTTAAAATAGGCGTTAAATAGGGGATTAAATGCTGGGTAAAAAAAAAAAGTGCGAATATGAGAAGCAAATTGAAGAGGGGAGGTAGGCATATGCAGAAAGGTGGAAATTGAGGAGACAGGGTTTGTTAAAAAGTTACAATTGTGGGCGTGGGAGCGTGGTCATTTCGGTTTACAAGTGCGAGTGGAAATATGAACACGTGGGGCTTTGTCAAATAAAGTGGCCTTTGCCCTTTCTAGATGAGATAGCAGCATACGTGTTGCACCGTCATTGGTCACCCTTTGATTGAACTGCGGATGAAGATAAGCTCCATCTTCATCGGCCCCTCTATTACTGATCTCTGGAATCGTAATTTAGTTACGAAGGCGAGGTGGCTACAAAAAAAATCCCCTCCTCCATCCTCCCAACATTATTAAATTCAACTTTAAGCTTCATTACTCACAGTACCCCACGTCTCCGTTTCACTCCTCTCATTCCCTTCCACCATTACTTTCCGGATATATAATTACTTGCATCGTACATTTAATAATAATAATAATAATAATTTGCGGAACATTGTACATCATATAAATGCATATGCTTCAAAACATCTGATTAACCAAATGAGATCCAAGAACAAGAGAAAGAATGACACCACATCCTTCGTTATGTGTACCGTGTACGCCCGTGTGTGTCCGCCCAACCTAATCAAACATTATATATATGTTTTAACAACAATCGGTTCGTCACTAATTTATAATTTACATGCTTTCGGCCTGCCAACAAAATTAATTTCCCATTGCAAAGTGCGCACCTTTCCGAGGCTTTGATTATTTGCGGTCCACTACTGGTATGCTGAGATAACAAGTGTACAAATATATTTGAGAGGAAAAAAGAAAAGAAAAGAAAAAAAGAGCACGTTAACTAACGGCGATCGGTGACCGTCCGACTTCAGACGCTAACAGAGCATCGCTGGACCAACTGATACTTGACGGCGGAGGCAGAGCTCTGGGATCCCCAGTTGATGTAAGCGGGGCACCTGATGTAGATATGGTATCGGCCGGAAACGAAGGTCCCGACTTTCCATCTGACCCGTCCGTCGATCTTGATTGTCACCAGAATGTTGCCGGAGGACTGGTCCTGACTCAGACCGACGAAGTTGTAAGGAGCCACGGGTACGTTGTTCCCGTAGACGAAGGGTGACCAGACGTCGACCTCCTTGTGACCCTGGTACGAGGGAGGGATGGCCGTGCGATACGTGACTTGCTGGTTGCGATAGTCGACGTAGGTGTCGAGACGATCGTAGTAGATTCCGATCCTTCCGTTGGGGTTGCGGGACAACAGGGTCACTTGGAAACTCGTGGTCAGGAAGTTGGGTACGGTGGCATTGAAGGCATACACGGTCACGTCCTGGAGGGTGAAGGATGGTTTGGAAGGCTTCAGGACGGCCCAGATTATTAGAATCGTCAGCAGAACTATCAGCAGGAATATAAGGATCCCCGCAAAGATTCTTCGGAATATTTTCCGGCGACACCCCTTGTGGTGCTCACACTCTTTCACCGACATCGATCGTACACCGGTGGCCAAAGGAGCTGGATGTTTATGAGGCGAAGTGTGAGAGAGGGGAAGGCAGAGAATGAGCTAGAAGATACACTGTGAGGTCGGCGTGTATAGTGAAAGGATTTGTGTGTGTTTTGGTGTTTATATAAAGAAATCAATCCGTGTATTGACAACGCGTCTGATGAGATAATGCTCCAAACGCATCATATATTATACTCTCTGTTAAAAGAATATAAAATATTTTTAATTAAATTTTACCTTTTATAAATTATTATTTATTTTTAAATTAATCTTATATTTTTATATTTATTTTTATTAAATATTTTATAATAAATAAAAATTTATTATCAATAGAGACACTTAAAAAAAATAATAATTATATTTTAAAAAATTAAAAATATTTTATATTTTTAAATATTTAATTTTTTAAAAAATATTTTACACCTTTAAATGAATGAAGAGAGTAGTATTCATGTGACTTGTATGGGGTGAAGCCCACAGTTCTTAATTGCGAGCTAATCATAAGAACGGGCGATATTTATTATCATCAATACAATTGCTTTTGTGGAAAAGTTCGTATTTTACTGCCCTTCGTTTTGCTCATCGCAACGCAAGTTCAACTTCCCAGTTTATCTTCGTATTTTTGGCTTGTGACTGTATGTCTGTGTGTGTTGCTCTGTTTCTATATTTAAAAAATTGATCTTGTCTATTTTCTTTTTTTTTAAAAAAAAAAAACATACATAGTAGTTGAGTTATTCACTTATCGTGTAGCATTATATGTGAGATGGCCACGTAATTTCTAGAATAGACCGAGACAGGGACAGACACATGTCGGTAATCATTGATAATTCAAGTTGCATAATCAAGAACAAGACTTGTCAGAAATATTTTTGCGATCATCATTTTGGGTGAAACCTTCCATGCATTAGAAGGTGTGCAAAACTCAATCATGATCTTGAGCAAAGTTAATCAGGCAGACATAGGCGCACCCACTGCAAGAGTACATGTGATTGATTTTGATATTTATTGAGAAGCTAGGCAGTCCTTTAAAAACGTCGGTGCCAATTACTGTCGGAAGTCTTGGATGTGAAGATATAGCAGCGAACTTAATTAGTTATTAGATATTAAAGAAGGGTAGCTAATGACGTGAATAGAAGCATCTATGAAGAGAGTACTGCAGAGGAAGCCGTGATGGCAGGTGGAGATAACTAGAGAAGGGAGGGGTCAAATAATGTGTTAAAACACGGAGAGAGGAGGGAGAAGGAGAGGATCGACGAGGCATGGCTTGAAACTTGGAATGGGAGGGCACTACTTTAATGGGTGTCGGGGGGCGTTGCCCAGTCAAGAAAAGGATGCCTGGAATTTGTTTTTGACTTGGTGGATGGGAAACCAATACCAACGAGCAAAAGACAAAAATAAGAGCTTTAAAAAATGAAATGTGATGAGCCGGGTCCACGTAGGTGGAGCATTACATGATAGACATGTGAGGGTGCAGGACTGCTGTGCTAATCATGAGGGCTGCGAGAAGCTTCTGCCTGCACCGACCTCATCGACGTGACGCTGGTAGCCTGAGTCACCGCGGAGGCAACACAGCACGATCCCAACACCCACAGCTTCACAAACAACATACAAATCCTTGCACTTCAGTTTTTTGGTTCAAGCATAAATAAATAAAGCTCTTTTTTTTTACCAAATTTTACCTATAATCTTCTAATTTTATATAAAGTTTTAATTTAATCATTTAATTGTATAAAATATTTTTTTTATTATTTTAATCATAATGCTATTAATTTTAAATTATTATTGTGATGCCAATCGTTATTATTTTAAAAAATTAAATTTAATATGTCTATATTTGATGATATTTTGTTAATATTTAAAAATTAAATGTAAACAACTTTTGTGATGAAAAAATGTTAAAGACTTAAAAAAATATATTTTATAAAATTAAGGGAGTAAAATAAAATTTTAGTAAGATTAAAGAATCAAAGCATGCTTTAGCCCCTTTTATTCATGTTTCCCGTTGTCTTTTTCGTTATTAGTTGATCCAGCCCGTTGTTAATATATTTCCCTGGCAAGGAGGAAACTCAGCTGTAATGCAAGCATTGACTGCACCGACAAAATGGCATAATGAAAAGTGAAGTCATCCATATAAACGAAGTGCGTGTGGGCACTGGGTGTAGGCATTGGTACACTACGTCTTCAATTGATCAGCCTCTTAATTACATGTATACATCGTATGCGGGCGTGTCTATATAATTTAATAAGGTTCCATGGGGTGACACCCCGCCAACTCCTCGCTTCTGTCTCCTATGAATTCATTAGATTCGTTGCCACTTCAACATCTTCCCACGCAAGCAACGCCTGACCATGAGCGCGCGCACACATTTTTCCAACACATTTTTTATAATATTCAATGGGAACAATCTCCCTGAATCTCTTCTGTCTGTTAGTCAACTACGCATGCCACTTTTTTGAAATCGTTGTTACCCAACCTTTGAAATATTAACAAGTGTCTTTAAAAATATCAAATAAAGTCGATTAATATAATGGGGTTTACGAGGACGATGGGGACGACTCTAAATGTTGACAAGTTACGAGCTTAAACATGCGGGGAAAACGTGGGAAGAGATTCCTTCCTCCTCCCTTCCTATTTTCTTCCTTATTTCTAACTATTACGTACATCAAGTTTACTTTTTTTTTTATGCTCAAAATATTTAATTTAATTTGATTTTTATTGCATTGTTTAATTATTAATGAGAAAATGTGGAGTTGACCAAGCCCTTGCGGGTAGGCCTATCTGCCATGAATTCTTAATTTTTCTCACCTGCTTCCAGAATTTAACCTTAAAAGTTCCCATGAAATTAATTAATTGTTGGCCAGCACCAATAATTAAGTCCCAGAAAACCAGCATTGCGACCTGCTCCCTCCTATGATCATTGATCCTGTCCTGTTACTCCCTCCATCCCAAATTATAAAGTATTTTTGAAAGAAATTTAACATCTCAAAATATAAATCATCTTAACAAAATTAACATTTTATTAAAAGATAAAGTTGTTAAGCATGTTCAATGAGATTTATTGATATATGAAATTTTATCTAAAAATATTTTACAATTGAAGGTGTAGGGAGTACTTTCTAAAAAATATTGATAATTCTTAATGTAAAATCCTTGGTGCATTGTTAGTTATATTTTTTTTAATATTATCTCTTTTTAAGCTCATGAGAATGAAATAAAATTAGATTTATAATTTTGTCATTTAAATATAGACAAAAAAGTTTATTCTTGATTAGATAAATATGATGATTTAATCTTTTTTTTTTTTAATTCCAACGAGATGGTTGGAGGTGGCTTGCACCTGCTAGGAACAAGAGAGAGTAATATGAATGTTTGGTAGTTGGCTTAAGCGTGTAGAGCCCGACTTCAATTTCAATGATCCAGTCATATTAAAGGAGCACACTGTCTCTCGACTACCAAATCCATTTATCTTTCTTGTCCTTTTCCAACGACTTATTTAATAGGACGACCATGGCCTGCGTTGTATCTCAACCCATTCGTAGATCATAAACAAAACCGCGGGAAGAAGCTCGGCTGAGGAAAACTAGCATACTTACACGTGCTAGTATTTTTTTAACTGGTAAAAAAAAAAAAAACTAGCACGTGTAAGTGTATACTGTCTCCTATTTCAAACAAGTATCGAACAATTTTGACCAAGTTACATAGTTTAATAAAAAATTAACTAATCATAATAATTATGTTTAAAATTAAAATATTTATATTAAAATATCTTTATAATTAATGTTTACTTTTTTAAAAAAATTTTAAAATACTATCCACTTATGAGGGGACAATTTAGGAAAAATATAATTAATGCTTATTAAAATTTTTAGAAAAAATTTATCATTTTATCATTATAATTTTAATTTAATTGTAACTTAGTTTCTAAACTTTAATTGGTTGTAACTCAATTCTTATTATTTTAACTTGATTGTAATTCAGTTTTTAAATTTTTTCTCTTATAATTTAGTCTCTAGAGTTTTAATCACTTAAATATTGATCCTTATATTTTAAAAAATATAATTTTAAAGATTAAAAATATTTTAAACTTTTAATATTTATAATATCTTAAAATTTTATTATTTATAATATTAGTAATAAAATTATAAAAATTTAAATTATGTTAAAATTTAGTGTTAATATTTTAAATTATTAAATATTAAAATTATAATATTTTTAAATTTTAAAATTTATAATATCTTGAACTTTTAATATTTATAATATTAGTAATAAAATTGTAAATATTATAATTATGTCAAAATTTATTACTAATATTTTAAATTATTACCCTTTTAATCTTTATAAACATTATAACTATTAAAAGTTTAAAATATTTTTATTTTTTATAATTTTATTTTTTAAAATATAGGGATCAATATTTAAGTAGTTGAAACAACAAGAATTGAATTGTAAAATCTAAAGTTTAGGTATTGAGTTACAACTGAGTTAAAATTATAATAATTGTTTAAAGACTGAGTTATAATTGGATCAAAATTATAAGGATCAAATGATTAATTTTTTTAATAAATAAATATAACCAAGCGGGTGTGATACAGGTAGTAGCGGTTTGGGCTTCATAAACATTATGCCAGAGTTCAATTTCTAGATGTGCGTATAAAGAGCATCGCTTGAGAGAAGCCAACTTCTTAAATGGCATTAAGATTCTTTAAAAGATTAGTTCCTTCCAGCTATAGAGATATTTTAGAGAAAATATAAAATACATAAAATATATAAAAAAAGGAGTTTATCTTATATTTAAAAATGGAGTAGTATGCCAAAATTAAAATGCACACACACACACAAGAAATTGGTTATAACTTTAATAATCATCTTTTACACACACACAAAAGAAATTGGTTATAACTTTAATGAGTCATCATTTTATATGAAAAAGATGACAAATTAATTATTTTCTCTTAATTCTACCATTCATAAAAAATGAGTAGAGTAAGAGATTAAATTACATATAAAAAAAATATTTTTAAAGACGATATATTTAATAATAATAAATTATTTTTTATTTTTCAAACAATATCAATAATTTAAATTTTAATTGAGATAATTAA